TTCCCTACTTAGCTTAAGTTAAATTGTTACCAAATGCAGGATGAGTTTTGGACAAGCAGAAGGTGGAGAAAGACAGTGAGATCAGCCAAGACAGGACTACAATAAATAACCAAGAAATAAGATGGCCAGTCAGAAAAGCCATAAAAAAAAAAAATAACCAACCACAAACACCAACAAACCTATGAAAAGGGGAAGAGCAATGTAGCAGAAGCACAAACTTAATGATGAGCAAAAGGAAGCAAAGGAAAGCAAAAGATTCTTCAGAAGAATAAGAACTAGAGACAGGAAGAGAGAAGTGATGGTAGTACAGATGAAAGGCTGAAATTACCAACCCTGAAAAGGGCTTGAGAAATTGAACATCTGGGGGCAAATCAGACCAGACAGAAGTGACACTTGGAGAAATAGCCACACAGACAGCAGCTGGAATTGCATGTGGATAAATTAGAGTACAGATGGCACGCTACTCTGGCAACAGAAGTGGCAAGAAGGCAAGTAAGGACAGCAGAGCTGGAGAGCACAGAGGAAAGTTCAGAGGTTTGTGTGTGGTGTATACAAGCTAACACCAAAGCTATCACAAAGACTCTCTGCAAACAGACGTGATCTGACATTTAGCTCCCTATGGTTCTACACCTATGTTATCCCAGCACTGAAATGGCACAAACCTACACTTCACCCATGTTAGCAAGCTGTGTACTAACAGAAAGGGGGAGCTTGGACAGGCCCAAAGAGTGGAGGCAAGGACAAGCAGTCCACTCCACGTCATACACCTACACAGGAGTTTTCATTCTGTGAGAAACTGGAATTCATAACCACTACAATGCAGGCAACAATGCAGTGTTTTAGTAACTTATAAATAAATTTGGGGTTAATTATGCAAGAAAAGATCCCACAATGGAAAATACCCCCAAAGTGTGTGTACCAGAAGGTTAATAAAAAAACAGCCAGTAACTTAAGTGTAAAAGCATTGACATGTATATACATGCATGCACTGTATATAATATAGAAGTCAATTCCTTTCTTTTTCTTTTCAGGAATTGAACAGAACATACTTGCCCACAGTTATGTGAAAATTCCCTGCCACTTTATTGACATAGAGATGACCATGAATTCTGCATGCATCTGGAGATTGCAATGAATTATCTTCCCTGTTTAAACAAAAACAACATAAAGAGTACTTGAAAATATTCACTGTAACAGAAATAACAGCGGTACAATTAGATTTATTTTTCCACCATAAAGATAAGGTATTATCATCTACATCTCTTTACTGTATTCTTCTGGAATTATAGCAGGGATGCTAGAAGGGAGGGAAACAAATGAAGGTCCCCCTGCTGAAACCAGTAAGCTTCTGTTCATACTTGTATTCAGAGATCTGGCCTACAAAGATCACCTTATGATACCTGAACGCAGGAGCAGAGAACTTAAGACCATAAGTATATCTTGCTGCTCTGCGGATTTTAAAAATTTTTTTTAATTACTTCATCCAAAAATGGTTTGTTGGAAAATTTTTATGCTACAATGAACAGAACAAAATATAATAGTCTTGTTAACAACAATGTAGCAAGAGCAGCTTCCACCATTTATTTTTTATGAAACCTTCCTTTTCCCACGCTTGTTGGAATGTCCACAACTCAGAACACATTTCTGAATCTGCTCCCTAGAAGGAGATGGGGAAAAAAAACCCACCACAACAGTTTTCTTAAACACATCTCCAGCATAAATTCCATTTCAAGTACCACACGAACAAGTAACAGAGAAGCACAGAAGCACTTCATGTATCTGAACACATCAAGTAATTGAGAAAAAAGATTTTTTGAGCTCTCTTCAACCTTGTTTTAGGAAGAAAGGATGTATTTAGTCCTGAAACAAGGAGATTACAAGATGGAAAGCGCATACAGTGTTTTGGTGTTTGTTTTATTTATGGATTGCTTGTGTGGGGTATTTTGTTTGTTTTTAAGGGGAGAGGAATTTCAGCTTTCATGTAGAAAGTGTTTTCTCCAAGAAAAAACAAATTAAAAAAAAAAATCTCATTGCATTTAGATTCAGGTAGATCCATGTCTTCCACATTTTAGTCTCTCAGCATTTTGTGGGTACCTGAAATGAAGTGTAAGCAGCAAGTTTTCTCCACACAATTTTAATAGTGCTATCTTCAACCGGGGCATTTACTAACAAAGCACATTTTTATTCAGAGGCAGATTGTTTTAAAACCATGAAGTATCAAGTCACAGCTAATAGCAGGACTGCTTTAAAAAGTTACTGGATAGAAAGGTATTCTTTCATTAAAAAAAAAAAATCTCGTTTAATATTGCTTTGGCATTACTAATTCACTTTAAAAAGGAAGCATCAGACGAAATGGACTGAAAAGGTGTGCGTCTGTATTATGTGTACATTTATGTGTGTGTCTGTATTATGTGTACATATATACATACACTACACGTATAAAACCTGGAAACCTTCTCCAGATTGGAAACCCCATAGGTTTTCATAAAACAACAGCTCTACAAAGCAAGTATCAAGTATAATATTTTAAACTGCAATAAAAAACAGTAAACTTTTATTTTCTTACAACTTTATCTTCTGGGGGGAAAGAAAAATAAAATCATAACCACAATGAAATGTGAAGCCTAATTAAATAGGGCACGGGAAAGGGGGAACGATAACATAACATCCCAATTTTCCTTACCGTGGTGGCAGTGCTGTAGAAGCACTTTTAAAAGCACTTTTGAATATCACGTCTTGAAGAGAGTGTTCTTCCTGCAGCCTGCTCTGAATCAGCTGCAGCACCCTAAAGATTACAGACAACTGTAAAAGCATGGAACAGTAAAACAAAAAGGAACTTCACAATTAATTATCAGCTTCAGTTGCAGATTATAAATCAAGAAGTTAACAAGGTTCATTTCAGTACTAAAGTGTTACCTTAAACTTTGAGAATGATGTTTTAAAGAGAGCTTAACGCTCTGATGTTCACAGCAGTGTGTTATCAAAATACTGAAACTAGCCAGACACCCAAATAAGCTTCAGGCTGTATGACAAGATTATCAGTATAGCAATCACACACATAACCAAGCTATTCCAGTTTAAATGATAAACAGTGTGTCAGTTCAGTTATAAGAAAGGCTCAAACTCATCTGCTTTCAGAAGAACATGCCCATTCGTTAACCATGGCTCAGCTCTGACATTTAGATACCAAGCTATCTCTGTTACACATCTGAACCCATAATTAAAACCTGTGCCACCAAGCATTCATTTGGAAACATATTTGAACAAGTCCATACATCTTCGCTTGCAACTGCACGACCCAATTCCACAAGTAACTCCAAAGCCAATTTTTTCCATCGCAGCGATCTCAAATCACAGGAAAAGCAAAGTAAATTACCTTTCCACAGGTTTGCACTCTTACATTAAAAGCTGTTAGACCCAAGACAGTTCTGTCACGTGACTCTGCTGTACCTTAAAGTCATTTCCAGTACAAATAATACAAACCACAGGCATGAATATCAGTGCTTTACCTTTGCCATTCTTTTTGTTGTGGGCTGAGATCAAATACTACCTGAAACAAAAACAACACTGAAAAACGCAGAAAGCACTGAAGTCCCATTTATGAAACTCAGAAGGTAACTGAGGGATGGGGAGTTAGTATAGGTTTCACACTTGGTACCACATCCTGGAGTTAATGAAAGGGCCCTGAACTTTAAATAATGTACTTAGTGTTCAAGTATGTAAATTTCTGTCCCTTCTCCCCTCCCCCCAATTATTCACTTGTTTCCATTTATAACTTCAGCACCCTTTCCTAAAGCTCACATGACTCAAGTCGGCAGTCTCTGCCCTTCTAGCCTTTGACTAACATGGGCTAGAAAAATAGTGAAATTGCCACTCTCTGCTAAGCAGAGGAGCAATCTTTGAAAGACAAGGGTCCAAGTGCAGACTGTTTATTTCTAGGGTCATCTCCCATTGAGTGCTTCTTTAAGACAAGCTACCAGACCTGCTAGACTTCAATCAGCACAACAATACTACCAGTAACATCTGTACACCAAATTCAAATTATGTATTGTCAATGTTGATGCACTCCCAACAGTAAATCCAATGGCAATTAATGCCCAAACCTATCCAGATGAATGGCCAAAAGAGATCAAGCACAGGAACTTTTCCCTTTCTAAGATTAATACCACTGAGGCAACTTCTAGCATGCAGCAGCTACAGCAGTGAAGGGATAACAAAAGGAGGAAATGCTCCAAGGAGAACAAACAAATAAAACCAAGCTTCTTCCCCTTCCTCAGTGTGTCCTTCCATTCAGCCACCTCCTCCTGCTCACACACATGGAGGAATTTGGACAAAACTGTTATCATTTAGAATATGGTTCAGTTATTAGAGAATGTCAGAATTACAGCAGGTGGTTATGTTCTCTAGGAGGTTTTCTGTAGATGACAGATTACTTCACACAGTTAATTGCTTTGCACAGCACAATTACTTCAAAGCTTACTGTATTAAAATAATTTTAAGAGCACAGGCCTACACACTTCCAGAGCCTTCAGTTCACAATACAGACATTAAATGAATACTAACCCATCTTACGAACCTTAATGTCCCTCCACATTATAAGGATATCATGGTGACTTTCTACCCCTTCTTAGAATTTTAAAAAGAAAATTGATGTAATTGCTTTTTATGAGAGCTCTGTCAGTTCTCCTTCCATATCAAATATTGTTAGCATTTACCTCTGCAATTTTCACATGTGAAGATAACCAGCTGTAGAAATCACTAGTTTGTTAAAAAGCACCAATATGGGAGTTTGCTGTATGGAAATCTACTCTGTTCACAAAGAGAACATGCAGAAATCCCAATGCTAGCCTCCTTCCTCTAGCAGATCCCTGGGATAAGCACTGCAGAACTCACTCAAGGATACTTGGGGAGGTTCTGTGCAGCCTAGCTGTGGGCAAAAAAAAAAAATACATGCAAGCAAGCCAGCCAGCTGGCCCAGCAGCACTCTGTGTCAATGAAAAAGCAATTTCTTTTTTAAATAAAGAGGTAAGAATCAACTTACTGGTTCATAGATTAGTCCATCTGCAGAGGAGACCATTGTTTCTGCTAAATCCAGAACATCAGCCCCCACATCTGTTTTAAACAGGGAGAAAAAAAATTAAGTATCACACAGATTATCATAAACTAACAAAAAAAACCACCCCAGACCTTCAAAATTAAAATTAAGTTTTCAAAGTACAGTGCTAAACTCCTTCCTTGTTAACAAAGTCCAAACCAAAAAAAATCAAATCTGTCACGAAGCAGATTATTGGGAGGCAGCAAGAAACCACAGAATCCTGCTTTTCAACCTATTGTATCAGAGTATCATCAACAGATGCACTGTGACCAGAAACAAGCTTTTCAGATTTGCAGTATTTTCTCACCGATGTAACACCTTCAGAGATGCTGTTTGAACCACATATACAAGTTTTCTAGGATCTGCTATTCACAAATATTTTTCCTTGTTTCATAATCACTGAATCCAAACCAAGACTAGTCAAAACAGACTAGTTAATTTATTTCTCAAATTAAAAAAAAACCACAGAATTTTCAATATTTTTAATGCTAATAACTGAAAAAAAAATTAAGAATAAGAATGGATGACTTATGAATTAATACTTGTGAGGAAAGCACAAATTGTACAGTACTGATGCACCACGCAATTAATGCAAGGTTTAACCTAGCTAAAAAAGTGAGTCTTGAAGATTTACTTGCATTCCTGGTGGAAGTGGTATTCTTCTCTTTCTCAGTCCAGGACAACCAAAACCAGTACATACAAATAATGGTTCAGTGCCTAAACGATGTCAATAGAATCGTAAGCATTGCCTTTAAACAAGAAGGCATCAGTATGTTCATCAGAAATATTAAATTACCCAAGAGTTCCAGTACGGTAATAGACCAGGTTAATATTTGCCAAGTTCATAAATAAATAAAAGTTGTGATAAACTCCTGCTGCTGAATTGTGTTTCACAACGAGCTTTTAGAATATTCCAGCTAGAGAGAGACTGGAACAACATATCTTTTTTTTTTTTTTGCTGGCAGACAAAGCAAAGTTTTGCAAGATATGAATGAGATGACAAACATTTTTCTTCACATTCACCACTTCTTTCACTGAATTGTACGCCATCAAGATCAGTACATGGCATCAAGATCAGAAGAAATACCACTGTTAGAATACTCTGAACGATAACCAATTATACTGCAAGCAAATGCATAATCTCAAAAGTCCTTAAAAAGTTTAAAAACTTTTACTGCTGGAATACTTACATTGACACCTCATGGCAACTGTAATATCAATATTGATTCTTAACTTACTGGAACAGAAAAAAAAAGCAAAAAGCTAATAAGTAACACTGAGTACAAGTATTATGAGTTATATCACTAGAACTCTCAGATTACTTGCAGAAGCATAGTCAAATAAAATTTACACCAATAAACATAAATTTAAGCTATTTAAAAATCTGGGTGAACCAAGATGGGCTTTTAATTATTAAAGCACCAATGACCACTCCTAACTCATAAGATAAAAGCATCAGATTTCCCTGTTGAATTTTACTATGAAACTCCTAACAGATTTTTGGCACTATTACTAGACCAAGAGTTCGTCAGATTCACATTAAGAATATATAGTTTTTGATATTTTACTCTTTTTATTTTCAACACAACTACGACACTGCAATAAATTCCACAGAATGAAGTGGATTAGGACAATGCAGGAATTACCCATCTAAAACCAAGTAAATATATGAGCACCTTCTTCCTGTTTTGTCCTCAAGGCAGGCCATTGTACTTCTAATTCTGATCAGAATTCCTCAGGACAGTGACATTCAGGATCAGGCTGAGAAGCTGCTAAAACCAGTTCCCAGAAACTGCTGCCATGTCATAAGGATTGCTGGTTTTGCTGACACCACTTCCCAAAAAAGCTCTTTTCTCAGCGATGCTCCCATATTATAATACCAAAATGTCTTTTACGTTAAGATCATTACCCTGAAAGTTTCCATAACTGAGGGAGGTCAAACATAGTTCTTCCCCTCAGGGGAAAGCAAAACCCAAACCTAACACCCCAAAAAACTCCATCACAGCAGAAGTCTGATTATTTGGCCTTCCTCAATATTCTGGCATTTCTGAATGGGTTTCGTGTTAGTTTCACAGAAGTCATTTAAACTTTAAAGAATAAATCCCCTCACTATAGTTATATAGTCCTTTCATCTCCAGGGAGCTTCTTCTGCAAACCTGGCTGACCACAAACAAATCACATAAGCAAGGGAGTCAACACTGGTTCACCTTGGGATCAGACATGGTCAGTAGACAGGAGGAAAGCAGTTACAGAGACACTGTTCTCCATTGGTTTAAACTGTCACAGAAATGAAGGCTGAACCCACAATCAAGCTGGGAAAAATGGAAGCAGGACATCTCCTAAGTCCCCTAATAATCTCTTCAACACTAGACTATCCTTCCTGTGTGAAAGCCTCACTAGGGAAATAACCTACTTTAGCAAAGACCTAAATGTGAAACTCCCATCTGTCTGAACTCCAATTGGATTTACTCCAACTTGATCTTGCTATACGTCTCCCTTAAATTTCTTGGGCTTTTTTGGTTTCGGTTTTTTTTTTATTGCAGAAATCTTTGCTATTTCTAACGTGCAAGGCATACAATACTCTTTAGCTTGTTACCACAGCAACTACTCAAAGAGCTTTTAAAGTTATTACAGTTCCAGACATGATTATTTAAATGTGTTCAGCGCACAAGATCTCTACCAACTCTACATGGACTCATGGGTGCCTGAACACCTCAGGAGGAAAGGGGAACACAGTCCAGACAAGCACATGAAACCAACAGCAAATGCACTGTCAGTTGGTCTTGGAGGCTGTAACTGGAAGCAAGATCAGGAGTGATCTCTAGATAACACAGCCAAAGTTCTGAGTGCTCAAGGTTCACCTCCTACAGCACAAAGTATAATGGCAATATGCTAACTGTATGAAGTAGAGTAAGCACCATGTGAATGTGGTGGGTTCTCACAGATGATGTGGAGTTACATCTTACAGTGTACTCTGAATTGCTAGCGAACAATTCCTTAGGGGATTCCAACCATCCTATTCTGATGACTTCATTGCAGAAATCTCAGTTTCTCTTCTTCACAGATTCAAGAAAAAACCTCAGATCAACTAACAGGAGAAAAATCAAGTCCTTTAAGTATTTAACTTTTTATTTCAATCATAAATTGCTCAAGTCACATGACATTTAAAATCTATTCTATCCTGAAATGCAGACAACTTAAATTTTAAAAGGAACAATAATGAATAAAGATTACCTAGTAAAATCCTTGTCTACTTCATATTCATATTTCATCCATGTGTCCTGATACACCGTGAATTCCATTACAGTCAGGAAAGCTATAGTTGTAAATGCTATCAGAGAAACTGAGTTGTCAAAAGGAAAAAAAAAAACAAAAACACACATTTAGATTGTGAAAAATACTCTTCAGAAACTTAAGCAGAACCAAACTAACATTCTAGAACCCAAGCATTACCAGTACAACATTGGTATCTTTGATTTATAAATCCATAAGCTGCTCTTACAAAAGTGTTTTCATGCCTATAGTGTTTGGCTTTACATAGGAGAGGAAAAGCACAAGTCCTGTCTTTGCATCAAGACAGAACTTTTTACATTAAGCACAGTGGCATACTAGTATGATGGGCAGACTGTGAAATCCCTATACAGAAGGCTTAAGAACAGGCTAGATCCTCCTCTGCATATAAAACAAAATGCTCACAAATCACTGTCAGGGATGGTCCAGGCAAAGTCAATCCTAAATTCAAGCACAAATGAAGGTGCACCCTGAAGTCCTTTCAAACCTTCACTTGTCGACGAGCTAAGTTTTTATACCATATTTTTTTATAACTAGTTCTAAAGCCGAGAAGTAATCAGACAAGAGAAATAATATACACTATATATACACACTGTACAGCTAGAAAAAGGTGCATTGATTGTATTAGTTGTGTACAGCTGCACAGTCAAGACTCCCAGCCCAATATTTCAAACAATTCTCCCTCTGGTGATATGGAACATGCAGTTGAAGCATATCTGTTCTACCAACAGCTAAATGAGTGAAGAACTGATCTGAAATTATTTTTAGGAAGAAAACTAATTGGTATATTTTAATTGTATGTGCCTCACCTTCAAAGTAGCCTATTCATCACACTTGCAAAGCTGTACAAGGCAGAGGGAAGATCATCCTGCTGCACATAGTCAGTAACAGATGCACAGGAGTACCTGCTACACCCCTTTTATTAAATCATGGCTTTTGTTAAGTTGAAAAACACCCTTCAGTTATGGAGCACAGAAGTGATCCTGTACATCTTGTACATCTTACTGATAGTATGTTTTCCATCTACATTCTGTGGAGTATTCCTATGGAGTCTGTGAAGGTCAGCTTGAGAAAAAACAAGCCTGTTGTTGACAGCTTCCATTCACTACACAGTGGTCTACAGCACAGGGGTGGCAGGAGGGGCATTAAGGCACTGTCCCATGGGATCAGAACAGAAACCACTGACTGCAGCTCTGGCTGTCACACTGATCAGCAACACTGCAAGTGCCAGCTTTCAGCTGAAGCTACGTAACAATCAGATCCATGAAAACCTTCATGTCAATGCATACTGTGAAAGCAGATGCAGTAAGCCATTAATTATTCTGGGTATCAATTTCCCTTTAGAGCCCAGCAGGCCAGACTCAACTCAGCTATGCAACAGGGAAGGTGGAGCCATACTGCCTCTATCCAAAGCCACAAGGAAACAAGTAGAGCTGTAGCTGCTTTCTGGTTAATTCTGAGCAGAAGAATTTGTGCATCTGAACAGGAAAACGTAGAGTTTCCAAAGACAGATCCTCTTTTCTGAAGGGTCTCTCAGCCCCAGAGCTAGAGTCCCAGCCCGTTTGAGAGACTGATACTTCTTTTGCAAGGGGTTTGAAGGAACTGAAAGTCTGAGAATGGTCTCTGATGTGATAGGGATGCAAAACATATGTCATGGTTACAGGGGCTGGGACCAGTTTATCCTTATGTGGGTAGAACCAAAACTGTGTATTCTATACTCTCTCTGTCAGTGCTCATGGGCTGTTAACAAAATCATGGGTAGCAGCTGCCCAGGACAGACCTCACACCCCAGGCTATAACAGGTAAGGAAAGAGGTCAGGGGAGATGTTAACACTTCCCACCCAGCAGGAGGAGTCCTCCCTGTTAATGGGCCCATCTATGCCTTGCCCCATGACTCATACAGAACTCCCCCCAGGAGCTATTTCTGTTTAATGGACCATCAAGGACCCACTGCATGACTCATAGACTGATATCAACCCATTGTGAGATGCTCCACCCAGGGGGAGGAGCCAAGTGCTCCCACCTGGATATAAACTGGGGTTCAGGACAGCACGGGGGGCCTTACCCACTGGATTTCCAGAGGACAAGAGCTACCAGATCTTTTCTACGAGACCACTGTTTCATCTGGACTGCTACCACCACCCTAACTACAGAGTATTAGGTTGTATTCTGACTCTGCCTGTGGTTTTCCTTTGTATTATTGCTTTTATTTTATTTTTTTCTTATTAAATTGTATTTCTGACTTGTAGTCTCTCACTAGTTTGTTTTCAAACCATTACACTGGGATAACACAGAATGCTCAAGTAACTTCTGGTGTTGAGAAATCCTTAAAGCACCCTTCATGAAAGTGAAGTTGGTGCTATAATAAAAAAAAAAAAAAGGAATTTTTAATCATTTATTGTTCTTCTGCAAATTCAACTCGCTTTCTCAGGAACTGAGAGCAGCATTAAGAAAGAGTTGTTTAATCACCTCTTAGAGATTACTTTATATACAAAAAAAATTTTAATTATTAACAGACCAATTCAGGAAACATAGCAAAGTAATACAGATTCTTGTGATATTTACCTCTACACTGTAAGTGGTGCAATGACTCGCAGGTTTATCTGTAGGTTGCAACTGCTTCTTGTACTTTTTGTTCAACGGAGTTTCAGACATAATCACATGAAAGAGATTTTTTATCCTCCATTTCAAACTAACTGCTAGCAGTTTCCTATCTAACTGCAAACAATTCCAACAGTCAAGAGATGAAGTCACTATTTCCAGGTCATGTTACCTATAATCCAACAGACCTTAAAGGCATCATCTTCTGTTCAGGTACATCTAGAAAAGGTACTTTTTACAGCTGCAGCTTTTTGAGAGAAGCCCAAGTGACTAATAAGGACAGTACAATGCCTTGGAGTAAAGTGTTCAGTTTTTCAAAGGACTTTCCTTACTCTTAAAAATCAGCTACATCTTCAAGACAAAAAGCTTTAGAAAGCTGCTCTTCATCCCAATGCTTAACTTAGCCATCTCTTTGACACCTCTGGAGAAAACTTGTCCTCTTTTAGGAAAGCATAAGCTGAATCCAAGCTGCATTTTAGCTCACACTGACACAGTCTCACCCAGAAACTGGACACAGAAAAAGGCTTAGTGAGACAACACAAGAGAAAGTTTTATTACAGCCCTGGCACAGTGCACTTCCAGTTGTAACTAGTTAAAATGTTTTATAGTGAAACTTTACATTGGTTTGAGTCTCAACAGCTACATGAGAAAACAGCCCTCGAGATTAGCGATGAATGCAACTATGTGGATAAGATGCTACGTTGTTACTTGAAGGAGATGAGCTCTATCAGTCCACAAAAGAAATCAAGAAGCCAATTTTGGCTAGTTTCAAATGAACCCAGAATCCTGTCTTCCTCCTCTTGGAAGTTTCTACTCCCAGAGCATGCCAGACTGAACTAACGGCCAACATGAATCACGTCAGTGTCTCAATAAAGCCTACCTGTGCCTCCACTTGCTGAAGTCTCCACATAGCTTTCAGGAACCTTTGGAAAGGCATCCAATTCTTTCACCAGATTCAAGGTCTTCTTCCGATTCAGTCGCCTCATCTTCAGCACACTCCTCCACCTCCTCCTTCATATATTTCCTCTGAATTGAGAACAAATTGTTGTGATTAAAAGACATGAGCAACACTGTTCAAACCAACTGGCTATAGTTATAATAATAAAGCAATAATAAGACAATTGGAATCTAAGAAACGTGTTGTCACAAAACACATGCTAGACAACTGGACGGTCACTCTTATCTCAGGAAAACTGTTAAAACTGGTTTGAACACTGCTGCTTACATTCCAGCTACATCCAGCACATTCACCATGTAATTACTGTGATTCTTTTCTCACTCAGTTAAATTCTTATCGGTATTGGATATATTAAATTTTAAAAAAACAAACTTAGTCCTGAAGTAAGCTTGCTAAACAGACCTGATAATGCATGGAAGTCACTGACTGAGCAGGGAGTTATCTAACAGGCTGCATAAATTCAGGAGGATGTCAAAACTCCTCTGGGCTCCTACACTCAGCCAATGTGAGCCTATACAATATGCTGAAGGAAAAAAAAAAGTGCCTTTCACAACTTTACAGCTGTAGAGTTTTATAGTCATAATGCGATCAGCATTTTTTTCCTCTATAAAGCAAACTAAGTATGAAATCCTAGCTCCATCCTTCAGAATCCTTTTTGTCCGGGACATGATCACTGCTCCACCTGGAGTTGTTGACACCTGAAGCAGCAGGATGCTGAGTGAAATAGCCTGCCCCAGAAATACTGTCTTAAACTGTTTCCAAATTACACAGATGTGCTCACAACCCAGCCCTGCCAATATACTGCATGTTTTAACAAGCTGGCACTTCTGTTTTCCTTCTGAGGAAATGCTGCACTTTGCCCAGAACTTCTGAAGCTATGAAAACCATCATGCTTTCACTGAGAATATGTTGTATTATTGCCCTCTATTTAAAGACAAGGCAGACGAGCTAACCTACCATGCCAACGTGTGAGACCTCCCTCACCATTGGCTTGTAGAAAAATCTGTTACCTCATCTCCCCTGTTTCAAGTCTCCAGTGTGTCCTGGTGAAATTACTCCAGAGCTGTTTCTTGCTATGTACCTTTGCTGGTGCCAAGCAGGCCTCATACTGTGCGACAACAAAGCAATAGGCTTTTACTGAAAATGGAAGTTGTTCACACATGAAGACCCATTCAAGGCCTATGCCTGTGATTTCCTCACTACACAAACTCATTTCAGATCTTAGCGAGAAGATACAGACTCTGCTCTTGGTGGGAGCATCACTCGAGTCAGCCTGCAGAGACCAACAAAACAATACTGCGTATTGCAAAGGATTCAAAGAAATCACAATTAAAGCAGGCAGAGAAGACAGATACTGGAACAGAATTTTGGTTATACAGCATCACAAAAAAAAGAAAAAATCAGGAAAGCAAGATCTTTCTGTCCTTACTACATAATTGTGTTTTAAATTATTATCTCAACTCCACTCAGAGTAGCTTAAGAAGTTGGAAAACTCTGAAGCACAGATATGGCAAAGCAGCAGCTTGGACACAACACCTGGAGCCAGAACGTTCGTTAGCACAGAGGGAACACCAGACGAGGCTGTCTGCTATCCTACACAGACTGCACCAGAGTCAGCTTAGCACCGTTTCATTTTCCCCATTATCTTCTCTGCTATCACTATGTAGGACCACATCATGAAGAGGCATAAGATGAACCTAGACAATTCGACAGTACTTTACTGGAAAACTTCCTAGATCACCCTGCATCAGTGTCTATGTGGGTTTTTGTAGTCTAGCCAGCAGTATCTAATTTGTCCATTCCCTTCTGCAATCTAGGGACTCACTTTCCATTACAAACTTGGATGGACCCAATACTCTCCCCCTGCCCAGCTCAACACGCGCACCCCAGAAACACCAAGTGTAAAATGTAGAGCCCAAGGCTACTAAAGTAAGATATGATGAATTTAAGAGCCAACTGCGTTTAAAAAATAAAATAAAATAAAATCTATATATATAGCTACAGGCTTAAAAAAGGAAAACACAGAGCACAAACACCACTCGACACCAGCGCACCGCTCGGTGCGCCCGCAGCCCAGACCCACCCGAAGGGGCTCGGGCAGCCCTCGGTCTCTCGGACGCCTCGGAAGCGAAGCCGGCACGGGGTCGGTGCGTGTG